GGGCTCCCTATCTGCCCAGCGGGAAGCCCTGCTCTAACCAGCAGGATGGCTCCTTGTTGCCATCAGGTAAACCTACGATTCACATTCTTGTCTCCCACGCACGACCCAGCGAGACTGGTTTATACACAGCGCTTCCACCCGGCGGGGTCAGGGAGACACCTGCTCTTGGCTTCCTTTTTTTAAATTCCTCACCTGAGGATATTTTTCCCATTGCTTTTCAAAGAGAGTGGAAGGGATGGGAAGAGAGAGAGAGAGAGACAGAGAGAGAAACATCGACGTGAGAGATGCACCCACTGGTCGCCTCCTGCACTTGCCCTGACCAGGGCCAGGGATCGAGCCTGCAACCGAGGCACGTGCCCTTAACTGGAATCGAACCCGGGACTCTGCAGTCTGAGGGCCGACGCTCTAACCACTGATCCACACCAGCCAGGGCAGTGATGAGCCCCTTTCTGTCTGCCCCGTGACAAAGTCAACCTGGGAGGCCCGAGAGCCAATCGGAGACCTGCACCTCCACCCAGCTCCACCCTGGCCCTGGGGAGCGGGCGCTGCACCCCCGAGGGAAGGGAAGGTCTGTTCACTGGTCTCTGGGAGAACCGAGGCCCTGCAAAGGACAGGCTACGCCGTCCCCAAGTTCGTCCTATTTACCCAAGTTTACCCCAAGTTTTTCTCTTTTCTCCTAATAACAGACAGGACTAAACCTGGCTCTTTTTCAAGACAGGAACAGCCCAAATCTCTGCTACGCAGAGAAGGCACCACGTGCCACGGACCCGTCCTTGCAGCTCGGCTTTGGGGGCTCCTGCTGGCCCTTGGCGCAGGGGCACCTGGCCCGAGGCGGTCAGCTGGGGATCCTGGGACCGGGCTGCTGCCCCAGGGTCTTTCGGGCCAGTCACTGCCCCCTTACCTGTCTTCGGGGCTCTGTTCCAATCTCTCGTTGCCACACAGGTCACACGTGGGCCAGGAGAAGGCAGTGCTCTCGTCCACGCCGACCACTGTGCCTGGGCCAAGGGAAGCAAAGCTGGTCTCAGAGACGGTGTCCACCCTCCCGACTTCTCCTTGCTCCCAGGACACAGATGACAACGTGCCTCAGATTTCTCGCACTTGTGAGTTTATATAAATGTGCCTAAGATTTTTATGATTTCTGTTTATTGGACAAACAGAATTATAACAATAAAAAATAAGTTTTAAAACCTACCCACATTACAACCTGGCCAAGTTTTCATTTTTGCCAGTTGTGTCTCAACAAAGTTGGTTAAAAAATACATGACGCCTAAGACCCTGACAGACCAGTGGGGACTGAGGCAGGGAAGACGCCATCTCAGCCTTGCTCGAGACTGCGAAACAGAGAACCCGGGCTGTCCACCCGTGAAGGGACAGCCCATTCCTACAAGGGACTGTCACGTGACTGTTAACATCCTGAGTTAGATCCTCTACTGCCTGACAGTCGTCCCCGCTGGAGTATCCCGTGGAAAGCAGGTGACAGAGTAACATGTAGCAAACGGTCCTACTCTGCACAGCCACACACGTGCCCACCCCGGGGCGACGCGAGCTCCATGGGCAGGGTGGAGCTTCAGCGTGTGGCAGGAGGTGGTCGCCTGTCTCTTGATTCGTATTTCACATGTGCCGATAGACATTATCTTATCACCAAAAATTTTTATAGTTAAAAAATAAAGTATTAATGCTACTTTCCACTCCAGGCTCATATCCCACCGGCTCCTGAAACACCTCCTTCTCAACTCTCGAGACAGAATGAAGATTGTGCCCGCAAAGCGGGCCTCTCACACCAGGCTCCCGTCATGGAACAGCAGTGGCACTGCCTGGTGGGTCACCGAGGCCAGGACCTCAGAGGTCATCACATACGTTCTTGCCCTCCATGGACACCGGGCTCCCCCTGTACCTGTCAACTTTCCTCCTGGCTGAGCCTTCTCCTGGCTACCTCACCCTTTGGGCTGGTGCTCGCCCTCCACCTGGCTCTACCCAGGGCCCCAGCCCCTCCACTCTGGTCTGCGAGAGGGAAACTGGACCATACCGTCTGTCAAGATGATGGGGCACACTCCCGACAGCTGTGCCCACCTGCCTGCACACGCCGGCCCCTCCAGGCCTGTCTCAGGTCACTCCCTCCATCCAGATGCCTTTTTGGTCTCCTTCCCGACTCTGGTGCTCACCCACCCTCTCCTGTCAGCAGCCTTTACAAGTCCTGTTTTTTCCCCACCAGATATTCTTCCTGACCTCAGCCCGTCACCGAACTAGCGCCCTCCCACCCTTCAGATCCCAGCCCAGGGCTCCTGTCCCTGGAGACCTCAGTGGCGCCAACAAGGTGAGAAGCCCTGGAGCGCTCACGATGCTGCAGCTCTGTATCTGGCTGTGTGCACAGCTGACTATGCCTCTCTGTATGGACTGTACACCCGGGAGGGAAGCACCTCCTCTGACTTGTTCCTTGTATCCAACATCTGGAACATGTCAGGTACTCGACGGCTACTTGTTGACAAGTATGACATTTAGGAAACTATAAACACCATCTCCAACAAGATAGATGACCCACCTTGAACGCTGCAAATGGAGTTGACCTGAGTAGCAGGACCCAGTTCGTCGAGCTCCACAGGGCTGGCCAGCTCACAGGCGTGAGCACCACAGGCCACCTCTGAAACGGGCATTGGAAGCAAGAGGACAGTCCGTTCAACACACACAATCTGACCTGTCAACAGAGACATTGCAGACTGAACCCCTGAAGGGAAAAGGTAATCTTCCTGCCAATAGACAGCATCCTCTGCCAGCCTCCTCTGAGGCGTGGGAGCCGAGGGGCACACCATGGGGTCCGCTTACTGTGTCCAGTGACACATGCACCGTGCAGAAGGGAAGCCCTGAAGCCCAGCATGCTGAGAAAACACAAAATACCAAATCCATTTGCAATTCAGAAAGGTGAGTTTTATGATGTGTAAATTATATCTCAATAAAATAAAATCCATATACAGTTGAGGTGGGCTCCTAGCTTGATTCCTTGGAAAAAAGCCCCAGCTGACCCAAGAGTACATGTTTACAATGTGTAGCTTTTCATTTGTTTTAAAAAACGATGTCCCAGGCAATGGTTTCACGTGGCCCCTGCACCTGTAAAGCTTGCCACCAACACAGTCCTTGAGTGGCCAATGGTACTTCACAGGGCGTGTCAGTACTGCAAGGGCCTGCGGTTCTCTCCAGGGGTCAAGGAAAGCCTGGGCTGGCACCATGGGACTGTCCCTCCACCTGCCTTGTCTGCGGTGGGCTTGGTGAAAGGCCCAGCAGGTCCAGAGTGAGACAGAGGCACCCAGGAGCCACGAGTCATCTTACAGAACCTCTAAGTCACCACGGGATCGAAGCTGGTGAGAAGAAGGCATACCCTGGTCTTGGAGGGCATCTCTGAAGAAGAAGCTACAAGGGGCAGCCTTGGCGAGGACTTCCAGGACATCTCGGCCCAGCACACACGAGGGCGTCACACAGACTGGCAAGGTTTTGGGGAAACCAGAGCTGTTTTCATCCTGCATCTGCAGGGTGACATCCGTCACCGTTAGCCAAATCTCCCTTGGCTCCAGAAGAAGCAAACTGTTCAGCTGCAAGACACAGGCAAGACTATTAACTTGATAGCTACTCTTATGTCCAAAATAATTCTTTAAAACAATGTTAGATGACTATTTACAGTAACATTATTACATATTTACATTAACATCGTTACATTTACATTAACACTGTTACATATTTACATTAACATCACTCATCACTTCAACAAATATTTAAAAACAAACAACAGACCTTTCATGGCTTGGTCACTAGCCCCCACGGACAGGGCTGTGCCCCGTGAGCCCCGACCCTGTACCTGTCTAATGGGCTCCTTTGCTGGGATACAACCTGCCCTTTCCTGGCTCTACTGGCAAGAATTGGTTGCTCTTTGCCTCCGGACCCCACGTTTGTGTACCTATGGTGCTGTTTCGTATTTAGTATACGCATCCTCCTGCCTTGCTACATGTAAATTTCCCAAGGGTTAGGAAATGTTATAACTGAATGTTTGTAACCGCCCACTCCCAAATTAATACGCTGAAGCCCTAACCTCCAATGTAATGGTCACGGAAGGCGGAGCCTTTGGCAGATAATTAGGTCATCAGAGTGGGGCCCTCATAATGGGATTCGTGCCCTCGTAAGAACAGACCGAGCGCCTGCTCCCTCTGCTCTCGGCGCTGTGAGGGAACCGGGTGTCCTTCTGAGCCGGGAGAGCCCCACGCAGAGCGGGACCGCGGAGCCTCCCGCGCTCCTGAGCTGTGCGCAGCGCCCGGCCGGTGGGGCCTTGTCCAGAAGCCCAGACCGAGTGCGGCAGAACTGCACCCTGGGTGCCCTCATTCTGGTAGGAAGCAGGTATCCAAAAGTAGTTGTTTCTATTTTCTCTTTTTTCTTTCTTCTATCCTTCCATTATATATATTTTTTTCATCTGCAGAAGTTGTAACACCTTTTCAACTTCATTAAAATGGCACTCTGCCCTTTCTTCGCTCCTTTTTTTAAGCCTCACCTCAGGAGTGAGGATATTTTTTCCATTGACTTTTTTATTTTTATTGTTTTAGATAGTGGAAGGGAGAGAGGAAGGTGAGAGAGAGAGAGAGAGAGAGGGAGGGAGAGAGAGGGAGGGAGAGAGAGAGANTTTTTAGATAGTGGAAGGGAGAGAGGAAGGTGAGAGAGAGAGAGAGAGAGGGAGGGAGAGAGAGGGAGGGAGAGAGAAACATCGGTGTGACTGGCTGCCTCCCACGCACGCCTGTGGTTACGGCAGGTGCGGGGTAAGGGGCGTGGAGGGGGCACAGGAAATCCTTATACTTCTTCCAATCTACTGTGAATCTATGATGACTGTGAATCTGAAACCTTTGAATGATCAAAACAAAAGTTAAATACACTTTCATGACTCGGTCATTAGCATAATGTTAATACAACGTAACCTTCTCTGCTAACCCAGGTTCTCACAGTGGCTCACTGCCTCTCCCAACAGTCAGCTGTCACTATAGAAAGTGTCAGCTTAACCACAGAGTAGGCACAGGACTTATCATTTCACTTCCTCCCAAGGAAGCATGTTTTTGGTGGCTCTCTTTCCCATAAAAGCAAAATACAGAGGCATAGAGAACTTGAGTGACCTGAGGAAGATGCCTGGCTGGGCTCTGAGTCCTTGCCTATTTTCTAAGGACCATCGATCCCTTCACATCAAACCCTCCCCCTGACAGGCATGCTCCTAGGAAGGCCATATTAAGCTGATGGGAGCCTATTTCTTGGCAGAAAACTCAGAACAGGAGGGGACCAGATGGCCTGCAGTTTGTCTCTCTCTGCTCTAGGGCTCCCGGTGGGTGGTTGGGATCTGGCTGTGGTGTGAGCATTTGACACCCGCTGTCTACCCTCCAGCTCTGGTCTCAGCTGCAGAGCTGTGGGCAGACTGGGCTCTGTGGGCAGGAGCACGTGGTCTGACAGCCGTGAGGTTGATGTTCCCACCCCCGAGGACAGTGTTCCACCTGCAGCACAGAGAGCAGTGCGCTGTAAGCCACTGCCCGACATCACATCCCCACGACCTGGAGTGCACTTTAGGGTAACAGGAAGATGCCAGGTAGGTCTTAACACTCTGAGCACCCTGCAGACGATGGGCATAGGAGTGCACAGCCAGGCTTCAGTCTGCCTCAGACTCGGGGTGTAGAAGGCAAACAGGCGACCAGGCCTTGTCCTCACGGGAGGCCTGTCCCTGCCTGCTGACCCGGATGCAGGGATGGGCCCCTGGAGCACTGCTGAACGACCATGTTAGTCACTCTCATTTGTCAGAAGCACTAATGAGCTGTCAGATGACTGAGGGTGGACAGGGAAGGGAAAACAAGGGCTGAACAATGGCTGTTCTTGTACTGCTCAGGTGACCGAGACGCGGATGCTCCTCTCTTAGTTAAGGTCCAGCAGAGGTTTCTGGTGAAACTTCCATCCTGTGTTGGACTTGCCAAAAACACCTCTTTACTTGTCTGCTCTTAGCCCATCTGCTGAACAGCAAGGAAGCCAATAGCAAGCTCCTCTCGGCCGCCGCTCCCTAGAAGTGCCCCGGCCTCAGAGGGGCCACAGGCTCCTTCATCTGCGCAGGCCCCCAGAACGTGGAAGAGTTAGCTCTGAGACATGGCTGAGCCCAGTCCCGAGATTCCTGCTTTTACCCCGTCACTGAGGTTTCAGCATCCCTCTTTTCTACAACCTGCCCATGCGTCAGGAAGGAACTACGATGACCGGGCTGAGGATCTCCCCAGGCAGGTTACACCTGAGCTGTTTTCCGCCTCAGTACTCAGCACAGTGGGTGGCCATCCACACCCACTCCAGGAATGGACGCATCACCTCCTCAGTGCTGAGCAGCCACAGCTCGATCTCAAAAATGCTTTTCTATTGTGGTACTCCATTAATTTCTAAGGGGGATGAATGATCCTTTAATAAACTATAACAACTTATGCATTATAACACATTATGAGGAGGGAGAAAGGGAGAGAGATGGACAGATTACCAATGGTCTTTGATAAATCACTCTGGCATAGAAACTGCAACGGGTGCTGAGATCAGCCATCTGAAAAGGCATTGAAAGAGATTAGTAACATCGCACACATGCACACACACAATGTAACCGAAGGCCTTGTTAGAAATAAAGACCTTACCTGGAGAATTTCTCTTAAGGAGCGAGGAGCGGGAGGCTGGTAAAGTTTAGAAACAGGGTCTTCTCCAATTATATCAATTTGCCCCAGATGTGGATGAGCAGTGAGAATATAACAGAAGCTAGGAGGAGGCAGAGGAGTTCTCACCTGTTTCAAATAAAGGCAAACACAGAGAAGACTCTAGTATATAATCTAGTCCTTCATATATGTGTATTTATTCACAGATACATACTGTCTCTGAAAGGCTGGTAAGAAATATCTGCATAAGAAGTAGACCATGTTATTTATCTCTGGGAAATTCCTGGCTAACCTGACAGCTGTCTGAGTACCCATGGATTTTATTTATTAGGTTATATGGGTTTCTACTCTAATTGGCAACTGAGTGTTGGTACTTCTAGTGACTGGAGGGGGGCGCTGTCTTGTTTAGTAGGAGGCTAAGACCCTAACTGTGGACCCTAATGGCACGACCCTAACAACTGTGGTTTAAAAACACCATCATAAATTAACCTCAGGAAGAATATCCCGCAACATAGCAAGGGAAGCCCCAAGGCCTGGGCTTTGGAGGGACGCGAGCGGGTCTGAGTCTGTCCTGGCTCATGCTCACTGGACCCGGACTTCTCGGGGACATGGGCTGTGGAGGTGGCGCTTGCTGCAGCCCTTGGCACGGAGCAGGTGGCAGCCAGGGGCGAGTTCTTCCCACGCTGAGCTCACCTCTTCACAGGCCCGGCCGTGGCCAGGTGCTTTTAGAGGCACCACTGGAGGCCACATGGTGTCGATCAAGCTGAAGAGCCCCGCTGTCCTGGGGAAAGAGAAGATGCTGAAATGCATTTCCTTCTATGAGATTTGGTCTCGGAGAGCAGACATTACCAAATGCCCTTGGAGATCACTAACAAATTGATAGGAGGCATGGAAACTGTAAGACCCTAATTAGATCAGATAGTCAAGGATTAAAATATATCGTTATGCTGGTGAGGTGGTAAATGGGGCAGACACTTTGGAAAAGTTTGGCAGGGACCCAGCAGTCCCACCCAAGAAAACAGAAAAGTTATGGTTCATGCAAAAATTGTATATGACTGTTCCCAGCAGTATTACCCTGAATGGATAAGTGAGTCTGGTGTAATGCAGTATCAGGCAGCCATGAAATGTAATCAAGTACCGACACCTGCGCAACACAGACGAACCTTGACAACACTGTGCTGAGTGGAAGAAGCCAGGCACAGAAAGCCACAGGTTGTGTGTCTCTATTTACATGAAATGTTTATATGCAAATCCATGAGACAGAAAGCAGGTTTGCCTGTCAGGGGCTCAAGGGCTGGGGGTTTCTTTACGGGGTCATAAAAATGGTCTGGAAGTAGATGGTGATGTTTGTGCAACATTATGAATATAAAAACCAATGAATAGTATACTTTTAAAGGGGTATATTTTATGGAATGTTAAGTTACATCTCAATAAAGTTGTTATTAAAAAAAATGACAGTGGTCTCCAGCAAGGAGACATCTCACCCTGATACTAAATGTAGCCAGTGTTACACTTTCCTCAGCTCTGCTTAATGACTTTGCTACAAACGTTACCTTTTCCCCGTTTCCTACAGCTCTCACCCACCTGCATCTCGGAGCTTCCAGGGAACAAGAAGCTGGGGACCTACGGCCAAACAGTAATGCTGTCACCTCTACTGGAAAGCTTACCCGCGACCCAGTGAGCAGCGTGAGGCCTGGGAGGAAGGTGCAGAGAGGCCAGGGAGCCCAGCTGGGTGTGGCTCAGTGGTTGAGCATCGACCTATGAACCAGGGGGTCACAGTTCAATTCCTGGTCAGGGCACAGGCCCGGGTTTCAGGCTCGATTTCCAGTGGGGGGTGTGCAGGAGGCAGCCAACCAATGATGTTTCTCTCTCATCGATGTTTCTCTAGCCCTCTCCCTTCCTCTCTCTTAAAAAAAGTCAATAAAAACATTTAAGAAAAAAAAAGAGAGCGCCAGGGAAAAGCTAGGCGATCCTCAGCACCTTTCTTCTGGAAGGCCTGCTCTCGCTTCTCCCAGTCCTCGCTCTGGTCTCTCGGGTTCTCCCCGCCGGCTGAGGGGAGTATTCTGTGCTGAGCGCCGGGGGCGGGAGTAGGTGTCAAATCTGAACTCCCATCACTTCTAGTTTCCTGCTCTGTGGCTTTCTTAGCTTTGTGCTTCCTTTGATTTTTAGGGCTGTTTTTGATAACGGCTTATCACTTCCTGGCTGCGGTTTCATCTTCAGAGGCGGTTCCTCCTCGTGCGGTTAGGAATCGGCGATTGGTTTCCTTCTTAAAGCTGGGGGTCGACAAGCTGCTGCAGCTTCAGGTTCTTCACCAGGCACCTCACTTGGAACTGCTGGGTAAGTCGCTTATTTATTTAATCCCCACCTGCAGATATTTTCTCCATTGCTTTTCAGAGAAAGGAGAGAGAGAGACATCGATGTGAGAGAGACACATCGATTGGCTGCCTCCCCCATGCACCCCAGACCAGGGCCGGGATCGAACCTGCAACCGAGGTACATGCCCTTGACTGGAATCGAACCCAGGACCCTTCAGACGCTCCGACCACTGAGCCAAAGCGGCCAGGGCTGCATGGCCTTTTTAATAACCCCCTTTCCTCCTCTTTCGCACACATCCTTCCTAATCCTACTCCTACGTGTCCACAGGCGACACTGCGCGGGTTTGACGAGAACTTTTCCTTCTGCCAGGTCAAGGGCCTTATTTGTTCTCACTCACTTCTTGCATGAAATCTTCTGAGGTCAGCCAGCTAAGACGTAGGCCCTTAAAGCACCAACTGCTCGAACCCCTGGGCCTGTCTAGGTTCTGTTCTAAGGGATGCAATTCAAAGGCGGCACCTCCTGCCTCCCTGTCCCTCAGGCTCGGCTGGGGCCCGCTGCGCTGCGAGGACGGACCAGGCTCTGCAGCCACGTCCTCTCCAAGACACCGCTCTTAAAGGGCCATTCGGGAGATCTGCACAAAACAACACCTAGGAGCTAGTATTTTAGACACAGATTAGTAGTTTCGTCTAAAAGTTTGAGACATACATCCTGTTAGGATTTTGAACCCAAAGAGGCGCCCCCCCTCCTCTGCAAAAAACTTTGCTAGCTGTATTTTCCATATCTATAGGATTAACATATTTCAGGAAGCTTCTTTTCCCCCCAGTATTGCCTTATCATAAAAAATAAAAGATGTAATAATCAGCACTAAAAAGATAAAGTTCACATACAGAATGACACCAAAATGTGACTTTCAGCTGTCCGACCTACTGAACTGCTGCGGGGACAAAGGTCAGGGACACGCCACAGAGCAAACAGCGGGGATGCTCCGGCGGGAAGCTCAGCGCCGCTCCGCAGCCTGCTTGGCGAGCGTGCTTCAGGGTTGTTTTGAAAACGGCAGTTTTTTTCCTTAAGGTCCAGGCTAGTTTTCTGACTCTTCTTATTTTACCCAGTCGGCATAAAATGTGTCAGAGAAACACAAACGATAGGAAGGCCGTCTGTCTGCAAGCCCGTCCACAGGAGGCAGGCGGAGGGAGGCTCCCTGCAGCGGGGTCCAGCTCTCCACAGGTGATGACCTGAGAGTTTAGCTCAAAGCTTCTAAGATGCCACCTCACAAAATCTCACTCACATAAACAGACTTCATATAAAGCTGCCTTACTGGTAGAGCCGGGAAAACATACAGAAAACACATCTTGAGAGTTAAAATACACATAACTCAACATGTCTAAATCTTAATTTTAATAAAATTATGAATTGCTAAACCTGCATAATTGTTTCTGTTGTCATTACCATTTTCCCCACCCATAGGTCCTCTATGGGCTCCCCTCCACCCCTGGCCTTGTTTTACAGGCAAACTCTAAGATCCCACTTTATTGTCTTTGAAAATAAGAGATAAAGGATTAATAAAGATCCAGTCCCCTCACCGTCCTCGGGTGGCCTTCTGCAGAGCCTTCATTCCTGCCAGGCGGCAGGGCCTCCCTTCCAGCCATCTGTCCTTGAGGACGGGGCCCTCCAAGTGCACTTCACCGAACACCCCGTAGGCGTCTTGCACGAGGAGGCAGAGTCTGCAAAAGAGCATCGGCATTGGTTCTTCTAGGGGGCAGTTTCTGATTCAGTACAGAGATGGGGGAAGTGCTCCGAGGTTGGTTTTCCTCAAGGCGCACCCTCCCCCAGCTGCCCCCTAGCCTGACCTACCTCTCTGCTCCACGTCTAACCAGGCGGGTGAGGCAGAGGCTTGGGGAGCAGAGTCCATTTCCCAAGGAGGAAGCCCTAGGCCTTCCTGCAAGGGGGAGAAGCAGGGTGGCCCCACCCCACCCCATGCAGTTCAGTTAGTACCCGCTTGACAAAGTCGATGCATCCGTCCCACCCGCGCTGTTCTGTAAGCATTAGTTGGTCAGTATCTACACAGTCAGGATGAATATAAAAATCTCTCTGCTTTATAAAGCTAGAAACAGTATCTGGTCGCTTGTGCTGAGGAGGGAGAGGAGGGCATCGGCTAATTCCTTTGCATTTTCTTTTTAAATTTGCCTTTGTCTCAAATAACGAAAGCCAGGGCGCTGTTTCTTCTTTCGCCCAGCAGGTGAGCGGTGACTGCTCTCCTCCCCCTGTTCAGGCCCAGGCACAGGCTCCCCCGCCTTGTCCTGCTCGCAGGGCTGAGCCTCAGGTGGGCGCAGGCTCGGGCCTGTGGGGCAGCCACTGTCCCCGCCGGTTCCACTGGATTGGAACTGTGGCCCCAACAGGTTAACGTCTCAGCAGCGCTCCCAGAATCCCACCCACCTGTCACTGCTTCCTGCTCGGGAGATCCTATCTCCTAAAGTCAGTGCTGGTGGGACAGGTCGGAGCAGAAAAGGGCCCAGGACCAGCATGTTTTTCCTGAGTCAGCAGAGGTGTTTCCCACAGATCACACCACATTCAAGGGAACGTAAATGACTTCCCAGGGGGGCAGAACCACACAGCAACTCTGGACCTGAAGAAAGTAGCTACCACCGGATTTACTCATAACAGCAATAGGGGCACCTTGCTTCGGGGACACTGCGAATTCTCCAGTGTCCAGCACGGGGAAACCAGTGCTGCTACTGGGGTGGTGCTGTGCCTCTCCGGCGCTGTGCCCCTGCCGTGGGTGAGCTGGGATAGGACATCTATGCCTGTACTCTTGCCCTGCCACACGTGGGGCAGAGCTTCTACAACATGGGCTGGGAAAGAGGAGAAGCTGGTGGACGGACCTCCCAGGATGCGTCTGTACCCGAGCCTGGGAGCGGAGGCAAGAGGGGCCATCTTCTGGACGGCCCTTTGTGGAGAGAGCCCCGAGCAGGCTCCACAGGACGGTCTGGTTGGCTGGGGAGTGGGCCACGGCTCCAGGGCCACATGCGCGTTGCTTTTACTGAGATTTAGTAGATTTTCTCAATTCCACTGGGGGAATGTTTCTCCATTTGCTATATGCCCTGAAGACAATTTCTGGAGGATTTAAATGATTGTGTGGTGTGTGTTTTTTATAGTGTTCTCCAGTTAAAATTTTTTTTCGGGAGAGGACCTACTGTCTGCCCTCACTCTGCTGTCAGAAGTCAGTCTTCCACTGGTTTCTTCTGTTTACGTCCATCAGGAATAAAGACCTTCTGGGTGTTCAGCATGTGCTGTGTAAGGCTCGGGTTGTTGGCCATTTGTAAGTTTCGAGAGTATTTGAAAACTTCCCATTCTAAATTTGTAGACTTAAGTGTGAGCTGTTCTTTTCCCCCCTAAAAGAAGTCTTAATTTGCTTGAACACAATAAATGAAACAAGTACGAAATCACCAAGTCGTGTAATGGAAGTGTAACAGGTGTGGGGAGGCACAGAGGGCTGCAGACCCACGGAATAGGTTTCACAAGGTTCTTTATATTTTTTTAAAAAAATGTATCTTTATTGCTTTCAGAGAGAGGCAGGGAGAGGGAGAGATGGAAACATCCATGATGAGAGTCACTGACCGGCTGCCTCCTGCACGCCCCTGCTGGGGATCGAGCCCGAAACCCGGGCCTGTGCCCTGACCGGGAATCAAACCGTGACCTCCTGGTTCATGGGTCGACCCTCAACCACTGAGCCATGCTAGCTGGGCACAAAATTTACTTTGTTACAAATGTTATTAGATGACAAAAAGGTGATTTTCTCCGACTCTGGTGAGTCTACCAGCAGGTGTGCGCACCTTTATGGAAAGGGTGATCTGCTTGGTTAGAGGGGCTTAGAGAGGTGCTCCACAGCGCACACCCCGCACAGGAACGGCACGGTCACACAGAAACCAATCCGTGGCCGGCCTCGCCACGCGGCCTTCATCTTCCAGCTACCGCAGCTGTTTGTAGGGTAAAGCAGTAAGGGATCATTCAAACAGCCAGTGTCTTCGGCTTGCCCCGCCCCCAGCAGCCAGGCTCTACCCATCCCAGCTGGGAAAATACGGCAGCCGTCAAAAGTGGTTCAAGGCACAGCATTGTAGCAGAATCTCCTCTGCTTCAGCCGCTAGGAAACACTGGGCAGGCCTCGGACTCTGCGCGTTTCTGAGCCATGAGGGCGAGGCCTGCATCGCGTTGGAAGAACAGAGTGAGATCTGTGCCAAGTGAAACCACATTCCTCAGCACATTCCCAGCAACATAAAATAACACAGATAAGGGGTCCACTGTGCAGCCAGTCGTATCACGCTGGACGTATAAAAGTCCACTACGAGTTAATATTTGTCTTCAAGAGTGTTTTCTCCTCTCTCTTACCAGCTTCTATCACATCATGCTCAGCACAGGGTACTTTAAAAATCCAAAAAGCACACACACGGACCTGTAAAAGCAACAGGACAGGGCGCAAGGAGTAAGAAAAGGAAAGCTGTTGATTTGTGGAGGGAGTTTTAACGAGACTGTAACTTAACTCCTTTGAAGTTTTAAATGCTCCTCCCCAACTTTTCAAAAGAATATTCATTTTCCCCTTTCAATCACTAACTCAATTTCACAGATACACGAGGAAAGAGAAACAACCGATGTGTGTGTCTGTGTGCATGTGTGTATGTATCTGTGTGTGGGTGTGTGTATGGCTGCGTGTCTGTGTGTCTGCATGTGTGTTTGCACGTGTGTCTCTGTGTCTGTGGGTGTGTTTGCGTGTGTGTGTGTGTCTGTGGGTGTGTCTGCGGGTGTGTTTGCGTGTGTGTCTGTGTGCGTGTCTGTGTGTTTGTGTGTCTGTGGGTGTGTTTGCGTGTGTGTCTGCGGGTGTGCGTGTACACTGGAAGAGGAGATCTCGGTGACCACGTGGGATGTTTACACGAGCTAAGAGAGCAGTTCTTAGCAGTCCACCAAGAATTCCCAGAATCAGTCAGTCCCGGCTGTTTTATTCTAGGTCAGTGTCAACTTGAGCAGCCTCTAAAGATCAACACAGAGCTTTCGCTCCAGGTTATAATCTCTGACTGAGCCTCAGCTTAAGGAAGAAACAGGAGAAATTAGATTAAGTGAGGGGAAAAGCAAGAGCTAAGGAGGGGAGGGAGCGCGGGGAGAAGAGGAGTCTGACCGTGAAGCGGGAGGAGAGGCTCAGAGGAAGGAGGGAGGGAGGGGACCTCGGAGGGCTAGTGGGCGGAGGCCTTCCCACTGCACCGGCCACGGGGCAGACAGGAAACCGATACTGCAGGACATTGCGTTCTCCCGAAAAACAGCCGACTGAGCTCCTAAAGTAAACAGTTAATCCCGCTGTTTATCTTTTTAACATGACGGGATGTTAACAGGGTTGTCTCTACTACCCAGAAATGTGTTTTTTATTCATTTAAAAAATCATACTTTCTCTTTGCTAAAAATAAAAGTGTGCCATGTAAACTTTGTAATATCAGAGAACCGGAAGAAATAAGGAAATCTCTCTTTGCTTAAAAGTGACTTAACTAAAAGGATTTCAAGAAGTCTGAGACGGGCCTTTTCTACACAGATACATCCTCTCTATTTCTGGAAAATACTTTGCTGAAATTAACCGAACCAAACCCAAACAACCCCCTGCTGGAGCTGGTCTTGAAGGAAGACGCAGTGAAAGAGCTGACACAGCTGTGCCATCCGGGGCCTTGCGGTCACTGCTCAGGAAGACAACGCTAAGCCTGTGCCCGAGAGCAGGGAGAGTGCATTTTACATGTTGCTGGAACTTTGCCTGTAGAACAAGTTTTCAAAGATAGCTGTTATTACACATTTTTATTAATAGAAATATCTACTGAGAGAATAACAGATAATTAAAGTATCCTGAGAGGTTCACGCGCAGCTGTAAGCTATGTCAGAGATCCTATGTACGCATTGCCCATCTCCCCGGACTGTGCGCTGTGTTCCAGCAGAACACAGCACAGCAGCATCGCCAGGCTGCTGAATGGACACAGCCACCACCATTACTCAGATTTCTCTCGTTTTACTTGTACGTGTGGGCGCGCACGCCTATTTAGCGCTGTAAAGTTGTATCACCTGTGTAGGATCCTCTGCCCACGATTTTCAACCGGTGTGCTGCAAGAATTTTTAAAACCTACGTGATACCTATTTAGTCAGGGGCACTGACCTCTTTTCCCTTGAATTGTCAAATAAAAAAATAACAGCCAACACAACAGCCGTCTAGCGTGAATGAGTCAAAATTATACCTATTTTTTGTCAGATCAACAAAAAACACAGTATTTTTTTTTTTTTTTTTTTTTGGTGTACCGCAGAATTTTCACAATTAGTTTATGTGCCATAAGATGAAGGTTGAAAACCACTGTCCATAGCCATCACCACCCCCAGTCAAGATACCGAACAGTTCCATCGCCAAAAGGACCTCTCCCGGTGCTTTTATTTTTTTGTTAACCCTCACCCGAGGATATTTTTTCCATTGCTTTTCACAGAGAGTGGGAGAGAGAGAGGGAGAGAGAGACATCGATGTGAGGGACACACACCGATTGGTTGCCTCCCACCCGCACCTTGACCAGGGGCTGGGGATCAAGCCTACAACCAAGGTATGGACTTAACCTGGGACCCTTCAGTCCGCGGGCCCATGCTCTAATCACTGAGCAACCAGCCAGGGCTATTTACACATTTTAAAGGAAATTGATTATGTTTTCACAAAACAGAA